GGGCGAACGCGGGAGCTGTGGAGTGTCTGCGCCGGCTGCTAAACGAGTTGCAGTTACTTGATGGATTTTGCGTCTCCACGGTGTTCAGCCCCCCATTCCCCCCCCCCCCCTCCGGCAGTGCTTGGAGTGTGGGGAGGGGGGGGGGTGCAAAGGAAGGCTCTAACGATCAGTCACAGGCCTAACCCGCCACCCCAACCCACTGCCTACTCCCCGGCCACCCTCCCCACCCGCCAAACCCAGTCCCCCGTGGGGCCCTGCGAGTGTTAAGCTGCCTCAGTCTTCTCGAGTAGTGCGGCGCTTTTTTGAGAAATGCGCTCAGTTTGTAAAAACAACAACAACAAAAAGCCCCCGTAAACCTGGGTTCGTGGAACCTTTCTTACCCTTCACACTGATGTGCCGTGCGTGGCTTTTCAAACAGAGATAAAGCTGGTGGAAGGGGGGGGGGGGGGTACATACACGTGTTCTGTAGAAGGCAAGGGAGGCTGCCATAGACTTGCACGGTTTTGGGTGTTGAGAAAGGGACGGTGGCATTGGAAGGGGTCCTGTGATGGACCCTTCCAAGTCCGGCGCGCTTACCGTCACCACCACGGTAGCGGCCGTTAACTCTTAAGGACCCAGTAGGCTAGGGGGTTACGGAGCGTTGTCCTTACCGAGGGCAGGACAGGACTTGGGTGCCTTCGGCATGCCACGCATGAAACACCTTCAGCAGTGCGCCCATTAGCAGCGGGAGACGTGGCGTGCGTATCGACCAGGCACTGTATAACGAGGCCCTCGCAGTGACTGAACGCGCTCAAGATTATGCACACAGTTGTCGCCAGGTCTGCAATATAGTATGACCCCCCCCTCCCGCCCCCTCTATTACCCGATTAGTAGGGCCACGATGTTCGCAGTGACAGAGGGAGGTGATCGTTCGCGTGCGGGTTCGCTTCAACGGGGTGAGTGGCGGGGGGGGGGGGGCGGTCCTCGTGTTGGCCTGCAGGCTCGGTGAAGTGAAGTCGCGGGGCCGAGTTGGGCCCCACGGGGCCGCAGCTTCCCTGCGTCTGCCGTACACGAGGGGTGGGGGATGAACCATCGTGGGCTGCCATCATCTCGCCGCGAGGCAGTTTGCTGGTTTGAATTCGTTGCGATCCTGACCGTCCGCTGTTGCAGCGTTGAACTCGCTTGGAACAACCATTCCAGAACGTTCATCCATCGCGCATTCATTTTCAACCCCCGTCTCACTTAGATTTTCATCCCTTCCAAAGGTGTTGCGTAATAGCAATCATTGGCAGGCCCGTTGTCAATCCGCTCGCTGGATGAAGGCCTCCTCCACGCCATGTCCGTCATGGCGGTTGTTTGACTGTACTTCACCACGCCGCTGGTCAGTGCGAGATGGTGAAGTGGAATGGGTGGCAAGAGAGGGTGGGAGCCCAGGACCGGTTTAGATATCACTCGCCACTGATGTTGGCCCTGGCTGGGAATTGAACTTAGGTCGCCGGATTCACAACGCAGCAATCCCAGCCACTGTGCCAGCGCTCCCTCTGACGGGCTTGGTCTGAAATTAACTCAACAACACATTTGTCAATAAAGCAAAAAGTGTGTGGCCTTAATAGAAGAAAATATATATACAAAAGATGACGTTTCGGGCAATGACCCTTCTTTTTATAGGACAAGGTAGAGAGACTGCACTTAATTTGTAACCAATGCATAACATTTATATGCAAAGTAAAATTACGCAAAAGGGAATTATACCTTGCTCAGCAACCCAACACTGACCGGTGTGGTGAAGTATGGTTAAACACCCCCCCCCCCGTAACGTTTGTACGTAGATCCCCTGCTAAGTGTTTACACCACAACGAGGGCCATTTGTCGAACCCACAAGACTTCTGTGCTATTGGACGGCGGAGGGAGGCACAACGCTGGGCCCTTTTCCCAGTGTCCCTGCGTGACACGTGGTCGATAGCTTTAATGGATGGATTAATAGTTTTGCAGTTGGGGGTGCTCACGTGGATTGTAATCGCACTGTTCGCGTGGGGCCAGGGGGAAAGCGATGACCGTGGTGGTGGTGGGGGCGGGGTGGGTAAGTCGGGGGTCTGGGCTCGCGTCAATTAGCGTTGGAAGGGGGCCATGTGATGGAACCGAAGAGGGGGTGGTGGTGGTGGTGGTGGTGTTGGGGGTGGGGGGCAAACAGGACAAAATAATAATGAATGTATGAGTTCAGTGTGCACGGCCTGAAGCGCAGATCCATTCTTCACGGAGGCATTTCTAAACAAACGTTCGGAAACGAATTTCTAAACGAGACTCGCCGTCGTTGTGTTTGGGATGCGTCGACGCCTCTCCTCGATTGCTCGAGCTTGCTTCTCTCGCTGCCTGGGAAGTGGGGGTGGTGGGTGCGGTGTTGTTCCTGCTGTTCGGTCTCTTCCGCTGGTTTATCATTCAACCTTTGCCCCCCAACCCAACCACCCTTGCCTCTGTGTGCCCACAAAAGATGGGGGGGGGCTGGTGCTGTAGCCGAGCGTGCCCTCGTCCTTGTCTCGCGCCACACGCGCGGTTCCCAACCGCGGCGCATCCGCAGCGAGACTACGCCACCTGCTGATGCCGAGCGAGGTGGCGGCGAGGCGAGCCTTGCCCCCCACTGGGGGGGCGGGTTGGCGGTGGAACGGATCGCTCGCCCGATGGGGTTGCCACCTGCCCTGATGGATTCCCCCCCCCCCCCGAGTTCACCCTCTTGCACCGACCGAGAGCTTTCCCTGTCCTGGGAAATTTCGTACGTCTCCCCCGTCACGTTGTTGGACGTGTCAAGTTTTTTTTTTTGTCAGCTGTCCGGTAATGCACACCGCTCGACGCGACTCATCAATCGGGCATCGTGAGACGTTGTTCGTCCGCTGGTGTGTCCTGGTGCGGGTTCATGTTGTTGTTGTTGTACCTTGGAGGTGGCAACGCCCCTCACCGGCCAGGTTCATCCCAGCCTGTGTCCGGAATGTTCAGGTTCATCTCATCCTGTGTCCGGAATGTTCAGGTTCATCCCAGCCTGTGTCCGGCATGTTCAAGTACATGCCAGCATGTGTCCGGAATGTTCAGGTTCATCCCAGCCTGTGTCCGGAATGTTCAGGTTCATCCCAGCCTGTGTCCTGCCTGTTCAGGTTCATCTCAGCCTGTGTCCGGAATGTTCAGGTACATGCCAGCCTGTGTCTGGAATGCTCAGGTTTCATCCCAGCCTGTGTCCTGCCTGTTCAGGTTCATCTCAGCCTGTGTCCGGAATGTTCAGGTACATGCCAGCCTGTGTCCGGAATTTTCAGGTACATGTCATGCTGTGTCCAGCATGTTCAGGTTAATCCCAGCCTGTGTTCGGCATGTTCAAGTACATGCCAGCCTGTGTCCGGAATGTTCAGGTTCATCCCAGCCTGTGCCCAATAAGTTTAGGTTCATCTCAGCCTGTGTCCGGTATGTTCAGGTTTATCCCAGCCTGTGTCCGGCATGTTCAGGTTCATCCCAGCCTGTGCCCGGCATGTTCAGGTTCATCTCAGCCTGTGTCCGGAATGTTCAGGTTCATCCCAGCCTGTGTTCGGCATGTTCAGGTTCATCCGAGCCTGTGTCCTGCCTGTTCAGGTTCATCTCAGCCTGTGTCCGGCATGTTCAGGTTCATCCCAGCCTGTGCCCGGCATGTTCAGGTTCATCCCAGCTTGTGTCCGGAATGTTCAGGTTCATCTCAGCCTGTGTCCTGCCTGTTCAGGTTCATCTCAGCCTGTGTCTGGCATGTTCAGGTTCATCTCAGCCTGTATCCGGCATGTTCATGTTCATCCCAGCCTGTGCCCGGCATGTTCAGGTTCATCCCAGCCTGTGTTCGGCATGTTCAGGTTCATCCGAGCCTGTGTCCTGCCTGTTCAGGTTCATCTCAGCCTGTGTCCGGCATGTTCAGGTTCATCCCAGCCTGTGCCCGGCATGTTCAGGTTAATCCCAGCTTGTGTCCGGAATGTTCAGGTTCATCCCAGCCTGTGCCCAATAAGTTTAGGTTCATCTCAGCCTGTGTCCGGTATGTTCAGGTTTATCCCAGCCTGTGTCCGGCATGTTCAGGTTCATCCCAGCCTGTGCCCGGCATGTTCAGGTTCATCTCAGCCTGTGTCCGGTATGTTCAGGTTCATCCCAGCCTGTGTTCGGCATGTTCAGGTTCATCCGAGCCTGTGTCCTGCCTGTTCAGGTTCATCTCAGCCTGTGTCCGGCATGTTCAGGTTCATCCCAGCCTGTGCCCGGCATGTTCAGGTTCATCCCAGCTTGTGTCCGGAATGTTCAGGTTCATCTCAGCCTGTGTCCTGCCTGTTCAGGTTCATCTCAGCCTGTGTCCGGCATGTTCAGGTTCATCTCAGCCTGTATCCGGCATGTTCATGTTCATCCCAGCCTGTGCCCGGCATGTTCAGGTTCATCCCAGCCTGTGTTCGGCATGTTCAGGTTCATCCGAGCCTGTGTCCTGCCTGTTCAGGTTCATCTCAGCCTGTGTCCGGCATGTTCAGGTTCATCCCAGCCTGTGCCCGGCATGTTCAGGTTCATCTCAGCTTGTGTCCGGAATGTTCAGGTTCATCTCAGCCTGTGTCCTGCCTGTTCAGGTTCATCTCAGCCTGTGTCCGGCATGTTCAGGTTCATCTCAGCCTGTATCCGGCATGTTCATGTTCATCCCAGCCTGTGCCCGGCATGTTCAGGTTCATCTCAGCCTGTGTCCGGCATGTTCAGGTTCATCTCAGCCTGTATCCGGCATGTTCATGTTCATCCCAGCCTGTGTCCTGCCTGTTTAGGTACATGCCAGCCTGTGTCCGGCATGTTCAGGTTCATCCCAGCCTGTGAGCGGAAAGTTCAGGTTCATGCCAGGCTGTGCCTGGCCTGTTCACCCTAGGCCATCTAGGGTTCACGGTTGAGGATCGGACGGTGTGAGACTGCGTGACCCAGTTTCACGTTTTATCGGCAGCTTATTTTACTGTCATTTAAACAAAAAAAATTCTGTTATGATGGGGTTCTCTCGCCATTTGCAGATTCAAGTCGAGCTGATTTGCTGCGCTGCCACTCCCCCGCCACCACCGCTGCCTCCACCGCCCTTCAACCCGAACTTGGCAAGCGTGGTGAAGTACGGTCAAACGTGGGGGGGTCTTCATCCACCACGGGATTAACAGAGGTTTGTCGGGGTGTTTTCCATATTTAGATTGCAGTTGTACCTTCCCCGTATATTTTGACGTGTAGCTGTTCGCGAGTGGTTGGATTTTAATATTTGGAACCATGATTCGATTCAAGAATCTGTTCTTAATTTTACCTTTGTGTAATGCATTTCGCGTCTCAAGTGGCTGCAGGAGCCATTTGAAAGCATTGCAGAGAACGGGAGTCGGTCCCTAGCCTTTCACAATACACCAACACACACTTCCATCCATTCTGGTGGATCTCAACCCCAGGTCCGCTATTCACCAAAAAAGCAATGACCCCAACAGTTACCACTGTAGGGTATAGACATAAAGTAATTCCGCCATCTGTTGGTAGAAGTTGGTTTTTTTTATCGCACAAATTCTTTGGGTCGCGGATTTTTTATTTTCCATCAGCCGGAACGAAAATTGTTGTCGGCTAATGTCAGCATTGGTTCCGGTCTGTCCTGAGATCCACATCTAAAAAAACATCTTTTACTATTGTCCAACCGTGCGATCGCAATCCACGTATCGTGTTGGTCATCACCGGCTTGGGCGGATTGTAAAATAATCGATTATTGTAGCCGCACTGGTGTGTGCATTGTAAAATGAACACGTCATTTACCAATACTCGCCAGTTAAATTTCACATTTTATGATTTTGTTGTTTCATCCTTCTGGACATTTTCAGAACACCGCCCAATCGGAATTCCGTCTGCACTTGATAACGTTGAATTGGGTTTTGTGTTTTTTTGATGAGATTTATGTTTTTGTTTGTCTCCACTGATTTTGTTTGTTTGGTTGCCTCGTGCAGCCCCTTAATATGTCCTTGTATTTAGACAATCACAAGTCGTCATTGTGGTTGTTAATATGCGTATAGTACAATACAGCGAAAACAGAACAGTCTGATTCGTGAACGGCTGATCGGTCAAGTTCATCGCCGATGACCACATTGCCCAGAAAGCGTCCGAGCTCGGCGGATCCCGCAAGATCAGCAGGGCTGAGCCTGGATAGGGCTCGCACGGGTGACCAGCATACACATCAGGTTGTTATATGCTGCTGTGGAGCTGCATTATGGGCAGCGGAGCGCAATTTCAGAACATTCCATTGTTGAAACTGTACTTCCAGGCGCACCACACCTGCGCTCTCCACTTTCCTCATGAACCGGACCGGCGAAGGTGCGGCCAAGCGATCCACATGATGACTGACACGGAACAGGAAGGCCTTTCGTGCAGCATTGCCTGACGAAGGGCCGTGCATTGTTCGCACGAACAGACGGACTGGCGAACAGTTGATAGACGCCACTCGTCCACGCCGTCCGAGGTGGTTCAGTTCCCTGGCTCGGTGCCCCTGTCGAGGAGCCCCTGCCGGGCTGCCTCGTGCGGAGAAACTGATCGGTGTGCACGCGTCGTCATAGGAGCCAGATTACACGTCATGAGCGGCACATCGGCCGACCTCCCAAGATGCAGGTAATACAATCTGACCCCTGCGGTGGCAGCACGCCGTACAGACGTGGCATCGAGTTGTGCCGCCGTCTCCGATGTCCGTGCGCCTTAAATCGCTCCCTTTTTTATTTATTTATTTGTTTCGAGCTGCTTGGCTGAGTAACGTGACGACGGCACGGGAGGCCGATCGCCGACCGCGCAGCTTCCCGTTTTGCCGTGGGGCTTGGCCGACGGTCCCACCGTGGCGCTGTTAGGCACGTGCGTACCCCCTGACGTTTTGGTCTCCCCTCCCCCCCGCCAACCCCCCCCCCCCCACCCACCCCCCCCCCCCCCCCGTACCAGGAGCTTCGACCGTCCGGCTCGGTTCGATCTGTGCGGAAGCTCCCGGCGTGTCGAGGAGGACGGCTGAATGGCAGACGCGTCGCACGTATTGCACACAGTGCACGCCACAAATGAACCCCAATACCTTGCTGATCTCGTCAAGTAGCATACACGAGTAGCACGTGAGCTCTGGCCATCCTAGCAGCAGCGGTTTTTGGCTGGCCATCGAACAAAAACGGTGGTCACCGCATCGCGCGCTTTCAGATGCGCTTATGCGGCCGTCTGGAAAGCGCTTTCTTCCGATATTAAGAAGCCACTGGAGCTATGCACTTTAAATTATCCAGATTTAAAATTTCATTTCTTTTGAACTGCTTTTTGCGTTATATTTTTTTGTCCTTCATCCGCTCCTCCGATTTACGGGCCATCCATTTAGTAGGTACGCAAAAATCTGTCAAAACTTGACCCCTCCCCCCCCTCCCTGTACGCACGCGGATTTTTACACCCTCCCCCCCCACCTGCGTATGTACGCTGGATGCACCCCCCCCCCCCCCCAGAATCCGATATTTAATCCACGCAGAAACGTAATAATATTAACGTGTTTAAGCAAACAAAGTCCACCGCCGGACTGTCTAACTCATTAGAAGGCCAATGTCGACAAATTATTATCGAGGCTTCACCCCACCCCCCCCCCCCGTTTCCTATGTGTACATTGTCAGTAGACCCCCCATACGCAAGCGTACACATTTTGGTTAACCCCCCCTCCCCCCTCCATGCGTACGTACTAAATGGATGGCCCCTCAGCACGGTTGGCTACGTAGGGTGCGAAAGAAGTTCTACATACATACAAATCACACTGCACAGCTTCTTCCAATACCTTTTGCCATATTTTCGCAAAAAAAACAGTGCCAGACGCTTGTACAGGCGTAGAAAACAAACTTTTTTTTTTACATTTGATAACGCCAACAATCTGGGCCAAGCTCGAGCGGAAATATTTAAATGCACGTCCCTAGACCTTGACGCGTGGAAATAAATAGTTTCTGGTGAAAGATAATGCTCTTATTATCAGCTCTGTTTCGAAAGCGTGCTCGGAGAAAACAAATGCGTGCTTGTGCTTAACCCTATAAGGGGCGGCGAGCTGAGGACATAACGCTCGCTGGACAACTGCGAACAAAAGATTCATAGCTCATCGGCTTAATCCGGTCTAAATAAAAGATTCTGATTCCGACCCCTCGGCGGTAGCACATCGCGTGGGCAGCGTACGACCGCGTCCCACACGCACGGCTCGCTCCCAGGTCAGCGTAGGACCCAGTGCCGGATTAAGCTAGTGCGGGGCCTGTAGCTTATGTTATAAAGGGGCCCTAAACACGTACATATTAAAACACAATTTTTTTTTTTACTTTTTTCATTTGCTATACAGCCAGATAATAAGACAAATCGCGAACCTTAAACACCCAGTCGTTCATAAAATTTGAAGGCGGTATAGTACTCTAGTAATAGAGCAAGTGCAGAATCACTGAACCGGAATTGATAGCTTGAGAGCATTTAGCGCGGGGCCCTTGAAAGTGCGGGGCCCGTAGCATGTGTAGCTACTTTTGCTCCTAGCATAAATCCGGCACCGGTCGGCCCACGTTCCACACGCACGGCCCGCTCCCAAGGCAGCGTACGACCGCGTCACCGTCTCGAGCACGTGCGCGTGCGTGACGCCACGTTCCTCCAGCTCAACGGCGCTAATCTGCAGCGCGAAATTTAAGTTCGCATCGCCCGCTGCAGATCCCACGACCGAGCGTAAGAGCAGCAGTCCGGCGTGTTTTGTTTAAACGTTGTTTTGCGCGTTGCGTACGAATTGCGCAGTTGTCGAGGAGTTGCTCGCCGCAGACGGAATTGTGGGTTTTGCTTTTATCTTTGTTACCATCACATTTGCCGAGCGCAAGGGCCCAAGTCTCAAAATGGCAAGTGTGAAACAGCTCGCGCGGTCAAGCGGCGTGGTGAGTGTCGGGCGCAAATTGCGGCCTTCGCCGTTTTCACCTTCGGCCGATTGAGCCTCATTCATTCATTCATCCACACCGAGCTATTAATACCGCAGCTTGCATGTGACCAGCGCACATATCAGCCGTGCTCCGTTGCGCGCGCAGCCGGCGCGGCGGAACACGGCTAATCACACCTGGCCTCACGTGTGATAATAGCTGCGGTGCTCCACGGCCAACTAAGAATTTAGTTGATTTTTTTTTAAATAAATGAATTAAGAGGAAGCACGCGCGCGCGCGCAATTTAACTCGCACGTGCCAACACGTTTTGGCGTCGCGCGCTTCGAGTGTTATCCCATTCTGGGCGCGGCGTGAAAAAAATATTCGCACCGCAAATTGAAAACTCGTCACTGTCGTCAGTGGCTCATCCGGGGGGGATTATTAAACAAGGGGACTTTCGCCCCTTAATCCCACCACCACCGACATGTGGTTTCAACGTGGCGCGCGGCCGTGAGACAAAATGAATGGAGCGTCAGCGTTTGGCAATGTTTGCCCAATAGATGTCCGCCTCTACGAAATCTGCTGCGCTCACTCCCACTTTCAAAGCTCTTTTACTTCCCACCCCACCCCGTCGCGCCCCCCCCCCTCCCCACTACCTCCCCCCTACCCCACCGCTCTCCTCCCTTACGCACAGTGCACTCTCCTCGGTCATACAATCCGACGTTCTGTGTTCGTGAAAAAATCAAGGCCGTGCGGGTGTGACTGTCCCCTACCGCACACGCACGCACGCGCGCACACACACATCCCCACTCACGCACACACATCCGCAAGGATAAACATCCACCGTACAGCCTTAGCAGACTGTTGGGGCAAGTGCTGTTAGCAAGAACCTGGCGAAGGGGTTGAGTGGCCAACTCCACTCACGGCAGCCTTTGTCTCCACAGTAGCGATGTTTGTACATCGCGCCAGAAACTCATTTGAGGCTGAGTCGACCGAGGGGAGAGGCCCTGGACCGTTTCATATCATCTTCACTGATGCTGGTCGTGAGTGGGAATCGAACTCGGCTCGCCGGGTTTGCCAAAACAGCGCATGCTAACCATTGCACTACTGCCCCCACCACCACAGACACCAACCCCCCCACCACCACCCCAGTCAGCAGCAACACCTCGCAGCGGATTTAGGCTCGCCATCAGACAAAGACGGTCGCCGCATAGCGCTACGCTTTCACATGTACTTCTGCGGCCATCCGAAACGCTCTTCCTTCTGATATTAG